AAATGCTTAGCTGTGTCTCTAATCAAACCTCTGTAACCTTTCTCTGCTTCACTTCAGCAGCATCAGGTAATGATCATATGTTGATTCATGGTTTTCTTCCATTTTTGTTCTACTGCAGAATGTGTTTCAGTTGGTTATCTGCTATAAAAAGCCAGGTCAGGAAAATCTGTTTTCTGTTGTTTTGTCCTCAGTTACTTTGACACAAAAGCATCTGTGTGCACCTCTGATGAAGTCTTGCAAGTCTTAGATTTGTTTGTATACATAGATATAAAAATATAGATATGTACTGATAAATAATCAGAATTACAGTATTTCTGAATGTCAAAGTCAAAATTGAATTGAATCTGGATTGAATTGAACCAGTTATAGAAATCAGTGATAATACCCAGCCTTACTCACATATTGTATTAGTTCATCTCAGTGTGTCACATAATAGGGCGAGGCACCCATAACCTCTGCTGACAGTGACCCACACACTTTTTCATACGTCGCTTTATGTGATGGGACACACAATCAATAGTGGGTCAATGACTCTCTTAAGGGACAACTTCCACTAGGGTTTAAAGCAGAACTATAAAATTCTACCAATATCACTTTGAAAAACCTCTCCTCCCTGCTGCTTTGAAACAACCCCAATTAGAAAAGAACAATAGGATAAAGAATAATTAACAACTTGTTTGTCCCATCTCAAAAAGTCCTTTATCTAATGACATTTCTCATACATGGGTCACCTTCACCTCTAAAATAAAAACTTAAGTTAACTTGAGTCCATCAAATGAACAGTGCTAAAAGGTCTGATACCACTAAACCATCAGTCTTTAACTGGCCAGCAAAAACAAAGACAAAAGCTTCAGAGATGCTTGAAAAATCTCAAATCCCAGCTGTTGTGGTTGTAGATATTGTTAAGGGTGGTGAGTTAGTGAACCCAGACGCGGACCTCTCGTTAAAGTTGAACAGCGTCTTTATTTACAGTGAAGCCAATCCACCGTTATCCACAGTGCAAAGTCCCTTCTGTGCTCCCCTCGTGTGTCCACACAACTCTCGTGAATAGTGACGTCTCTCCGTCTCGTTCGTTTCCAGGGAAAAGGCAAACATACGCGATTAGCCTCCCTCCGCTATCAAGTCACTACCACTAGCCTCGAGTCACTACCAGGCTTGGTGGAATACTCCAGCACTGTCTGTCACTCAGCCACACCATTAAATAGCTCTGCCAACGATGGTGGATGATTGGCAGCAGCTGGCGAGGAATCAGTCGCAGGTGGGACAGCTCAGAGTGGCAGCACTTCCGGGTCGGAGATCTCCCGTTGCTACGCAACCGCATAACAATCGCAGAGGAGCCGGAGAGAGAAACAGAGCGCGAGAGAAGAGAAACAAACACACACATACACACAGGTCGCCGGTCGGGGCACCGTCAGACCTGACAGATATTTTTTCAGATATTTTTAGCTTCATGTTATTGAAGCTACTTGGATCAAATCACACATCATTTTAAGGTAACAAAGAAGACATTACCACAGAGATGTCTTTCAGATTTTCTTCAAACAAACATGTGCATGTGCAACATAAAATAACTGTGCTGTATCACATCTTTGTAAAGCTGAGTTCAATTTCTTTGTGTGCTTCCAGCTTCACTTAGTCCAACATCTACTGTCATCAGTCACAATGAGCATGATTAGCCTGCTTGTTCCAATATCTCTGCTTTACTGATCATCCCAACAATAGAATAATATCATACTTTATAGAAGCCAAATCATGTTGTATTTGTTTTATCTTTATCTGAAGTAATGAGTCACAGTGTTTTCATCTCAACAGTCCAAAGTCTTTAAACCACATACCGCTACCACAGTCCTCAGTCACATTAATACCTGGCACTGCATCAGCCAGAGAAGAAAGGGGTGGGGTGGGTGGGGTAATCAGCTATAGATGAAGCCTATCTGAGAGAGTTCTTCCTGTTAACAGGTGATGCTGCTGTCACCTGACTGTATCATCTGGTTCTTAAAGCAGCTCTCATTGAAACTGAATCAGTTTGTTAGGAGAAATCAGGAACATGGCTTCATCTTTTCTCTGCTTCACTTTCCTCTTCATCAGCATCCACACTGCAGGTATCATCAATACACTGATAATTGATCAATTAATACACTTGTCAATGCTCAGTATACTGATATATACATAGATCAGAACAGCTGATCAATAGACTCACCAGTACATTGATTAATATAATGATCATGAATCAATACAACATAAGTTCATATTTAATCATCTATTAAACAGCAGGTATGATCAGTAATCCATAGTCTGCAGTTCACTGTGGTTCTTTTTTGTTCTTCAGATGGATTTTTAGAGTATATGGTGAATCGCTGTGACTTTAACTCCACTTAGCTGAAGGACATGGAGTACATCTACTCTCGCTATTACAACAAGATAGAGTACATCAGGTTCAGCAGCAGTGTGGGGGAGTATGTTGGAGTCACTGAGTTTGGAGAGAACCTTGCGGAGATCTGGAACAATGATACTGAAGAGCTGAATTTAATAAGACTTAAGATAGCGACATACTGCCAGCACAACATTTGTTCTGTCCTCACTAGATGTGGGCGTGACTTAGCTTATCCAGTTTGACAGACAGTGAACAGAATGAGAAGAAGAGAATGCTTTGAACTGAGATTCTTCTTTACTTCGATCTGCATCTCCAGTTTACAGGCCATGTTACTAAGGCTTCTTATACATGGTATCCCTTATCCATTTTCATTTCTCTCCTTTCTCTTTTCTTTTTGTAAAACTAAATAAACACAAAACAGATAATTACCTTCTCATTCACTGAACATACATAATGTACTAATTGAAACTTAGTTTTCATGACAACCAGCAAAAACATAAATCTTAAGGTTGCCTAAATTAAACATAAACATCACCTTCAGTTAACTAGCATTATTGATCATAGCAAGTTAGCAAACACATGCTAATATACAGTCGCTAGCACACAAGTAGCTTTACAAATGAGTAATGACCACACAGCTGAAATAGTAACTCAGTATACGCACATTACACATGCATCACAAATCAGATAGTTACGGTTATAGTATGTAATGGAAACTTACAGGCATGCGTGGGCAAAGGTTTCACCTCCACTGAGCACTTGTAGCAAACTAGCTGGGCATAACAACTTTCCAAGTACCAACTGTGGCCACAAGAGGGTGCCAAATCATACAAACAAAAGCATATTACCACATTAAAGTTATACCAACACAACATTGATATTTATGATCGGGCTATTCTAGCTAAGTCAGGTGAGTGTGTGGTTTGTGTGACATTATCAGATGATCATGTTCAGCCTTGTGTTGACCAACACTCTGAATCACTCAGTGTAATAATCCTTAAACTGCTGATGGTTTTAATTCATTTGGAACTTCTGCGTCTACTCGAGTTATGTTTCTTTAACATTCAAGAAAAAATGGATGATATTTAACATGGTTTATGTTGTTAATTCAGAAGTAATTAAAACTTTAAATAGAAGTTAAAAAGTAAAAGGTAATTTAACAAATATTTATGTAAATACAGATTCCCGTTGCATCCTGGTGGCCAAACTTCAGCCACTTCCTGTTTTTAATGTCACAGTTACTAATACTAACACCATTAATGTTAATTAATAATTGTAATTTGGGAAAATTATCTTGCTTTCAAAAAAGCAAAAATATACAATACAGAGAACTTTGAGGTGACTGTTGTGATTTGGAGGTATATAAATACTATAAACTATAAAAGACACATCTCCTGGATGCACTGGTACGCATCTTCAGTGATGTATCCTGGGGTCATCAGGTGTTTCGGGTCTCACAACATCATACACTCTCGCCCAGGCGACCCAGCCAGGGGTGATCAGGCCCCGACTTGCGTACCAGTAGCTACACAGTAAAATTCACTGAGTAAATTTTACTCACTTTGAAAAAAACTTCACTCTAAAAAAGACAGTATTTGGTCCCAGTCTAAATGGAGCAAAGTTTACACTTACGGTAGAGTTAAATCTACTCTATTCGGTGCAAATATTTTAATGATGATACTTTACTCAGTTTAGTATAAAATAAAAACAACTCCACCCTAATTTTACTCTGAATAGAACAGAATTTTACTCTACATAGTATTTTATTCCAAGTAGAGCATAATTTTATTCAGAATTGAATTTAAATTTATTTTAAATAGAACTACATTTTCACTCCAAATACAATTTAAATTTTACATACAACTAAATTTTACTACTAATTAAAAGAAAAAAAATATGTGACTTTATTTCACCCAATAGGTATTATCATTCACTGCAAGGTACAATAAATAAATCAGAAATTATTTTTATTTTAACTGCCACCTTTATTGTTCACAGGAAACAGTATGGTACAATATAAAAACTGGAATCACTATCACTGTATGACACCTGTAAATCAAATGCTTTACAACAGAAAAGCTCTTCAACACAAATTACATGAGGTTCGTCTCTTGTACACAAAACTTGAAAAGCATTAAAATGCTCATTCAGACACACTGTTTGCAGTGCAAAGGTAATAAACAATAACCTCTTCACAACAACATGGCACATCTTGTGAAAAACTGGCATTTCACAATGGAGTTTTAAACAAACAACTAAATCTGAACGGTAAATATTTCCATGGTGTTTTGCCCATCTAACATTTAACATCTTGGTGTTGATTGGTAGCTGAAGAGTCTCTGCTATCTTACAGCTCCAGTCCAGTGCATTTAAAGAAAGCATTTTATCTGGTCCAGTAGTCAGACTCCTAGGGTCAAATGCCTGCCAAATGAAAGCAATATGATTGTTGATGTTGTTGTTTTATTGCCAATGTTTTAGTTACATTTTTGAAACTTTTCAATTGTTTCTTAAAGAAGTTGTGGTTGGATCGCTTTGAAAAGCTTTATCAAGGAATTAGCATTTGTCTGGGACCTCTTGCAAATGAAACAAAACATTCCAGCTCAACACCCTTAGTAGAAAAAAAAAATCAACGCAGCATCAGAGCCCTCAACTCTGCAACCCTAGGATTCACTTTGGTTGTATCAACATCTATCTTGTAAATGGTGGTCTGCAGGAAGTTGTACATATTGACCAGATCGTGGTCATATGACGTACCAAAGACAAAGTGAGCTTTAAAAAGCTCATCAAAACAAGCAAGAGAGCCTGGTGACTTACAAGGTATTGCATGTTTGTCTATCACAATGAAGTACTTGTGAATCACACTCCTCTGAGTGCCCACTGCAAGAAGGTATGGTTGAAGGCTCTCCGTGATGCCATCGAGATGCCCCTGGATGCTAGTTCCCGTCTGTGACACAAAGACAGATAAACGTTCCAACATGATAAGACTTCGGTTAAAAAACAAGAGTCTAACAAAATTAAGGACAGATACAAAACAGACAAAACTAGTTCAATTTTAACTGCTAGCTTGTCAAGAGTATAATCTGTATATCTATATGAGTATATATACAGATATAATCGATATAAATATGTTAATTACCATGACAGTTAATTTGCTGAAATTGTAGCATTTCTATTTACAACGAACTTAAAGTTTGGAATGACTTTGTGTACTTTACTCAAGTGATAAAAGAAATGTGTGATGTTGCAAATACAGCCTACATATGGATGCAAGACATAAAGGCTGCTTGACTGAGCTGTATACATCTCTTGGTAATGACTAAATTCATAGTTGTATTTAAACATACACCTTTTAGTTCATCAGGAATATTGTTATCAATGTAAATATAACTAGTTATGTTTCCTTTACTGTAACTTTACCTTGACGAACTTGACAAGATGCTCACAGGCTTGTCTGGCTGAGAGCTTTCCTGGTCTCTTGCGGCCATGAGGTGATGGTGGTAACAGGTGTACAAGGATCAAAATGGATGACATATCACTGTCCCATCCTGGAAACATAAGTAAATTGAAAACAAAAATTATCTGCCAAAGCATGTTATCTGCAATTGTGTTAACACTTACATTATAAAGTTTTGAAAAAAACGTGACAGCAGGTGACGGTGTTGCACTTTTAAATGCTCCAATTCAAACATAACAATATAATCCATCTATTTTATCTCACCATTTTCCACTTCTATTGTGCATTCTGCATTTTGCACAAGGTCATCTGATTGCGTGAGACCACGGCTTTGTTTGAGGACTTTCTGCTTGTAGATAGTGGGCCACTTCTCCAGGAACTTCGCAGAGGTGGCTTCATCGAACATCAAAGTAAAATCTTGCTCAATCTGCAGAAGAGATGAAATTCAGTTTTTGAAACTCCTTACATCAAACAACTTTATGCTCACTTTTTTCCTCACATGCACCTCAACTTATAAATGTAACAGTGAGGGAAGTTGAAGGTAAGATAAACATACTAATCCTCCTATATCCAGGAATCTTGGGAAGTCCAAAAAGATATCAGATGACTTCACTGGATCATGAATCATCTTTTGGCGATAGTTGAAGGTCTGCTTCATCTTCATCATAACAATTCCTTCATCAGCTGTATGTTTCATCAATGCAATAGCCTCAGAACACAAGCTGTCTGTCATTAGGCAGTTGTCTTCTCTGAAACAGTCTCTATCAGATGTTGGGCCCCCTAACAGTGGATATGAATATGACAAAAATGTGACACCATGTCCTACAAGGCTTGAGAACTCAGCTAGAATTTTCATGCGTGCAGTTTAGTCTCCAGATGAGTGAGACTTGAATTCTAACTACTAACAATATCACATACCCATTTGCGTTTTTGACATTCTGGGAGTCTTGTTTTGTCCATTAGAAGTTTCCTTTTGGATAAACTTCAATCTCCAAGCCAGATACCCACTCCCATCTTCTGCATTGTAAAAATGCTCCTAAAATTAAATGAAATATTTGAATTAACATGTTAAAATATATTTACACTTTCAATCTGAAAATTGCAGCAATTGAGCTCCCTTGCTCGGGACTGGAGTGCTGAACTCTAAAGGGATTTAAATAATGAGAGTTAAGAAAAGGCAGCACAGATGAAAGTCCTGCGAAAAGAAAAACATCTTCAACATTACTCAATCCAGAGCCAAACTGTTAAGAAAATTCTACATATATTTCATGCCTGAAAAATGTCTTACATCCATGAGTGAAGAGTAAATTGTTTGAACTTATTCTTTTTTGTACTTACATAGCCCAACCTGCTCCTAGGATCAGCCAGGTATGGCAACAACGTGATGATACCCTTTGCATAGTTCTCTTTGACACGTCTTGAAGGACTTGTCCTACACAGACAAACACAAAGTACAATCACTGTTGAAAGTCTAAATACCACCTCTAAGAAAATAAATGAATGAATAAATGATAAATGAATTTATCATATATATATACTTATGAAATAACTATGTCAGCATACCCATGTTCACTTGTCATATGTGCAACTAATATCTTGACCATGTCACGCCGTCTGCTATCCGTTAGGCTTTTTGTCTGGGCATAATCATTGATGATCCTCTCTCCTCCTGGTTTGTTCTTTAGAACATATTCAGCCATCTAAGTAACAGTAAAATAGAGCAATATAATAATATATCATCAATATTTTTCTTATGATACTAAAAAAGCTTTCAGGTTTGTTCTAGATCAAATCAAAGGTCTATGGTCACGAATACATATTATTTTTTTTAAGTATTTTTTAGTATAGACTTGAGGTTCATTAGATATTCATGATCACTGTGCTTCAAAGCCACCTAAAGTTCTGTTAAAAAGCACAAATAATTACCCTTAAATTTGTCTGTCTGTCAAGCACACTAACTTTTTATGTTGCCGATCCGGTCTACAATATGCAGAGCTGTGCTGAAGGAAAGACAGCAGAATCTTGTGCTTTTATGATGGTGATAATAATACATATAATATATTCAAATTTGTGTCAAACTACATAGCTTACCCGGGCAAGAGACGTGTCGTCAGCTCTCCGTCTTGTTGTAGGGCTGTGTTCCAATAATATGGTGTCATCAGAGTCCACTTCAATTTCTCCACTGGAACTGGTAAAGGAGGTGCTTGCAGAAGAATCTATCAAATCATAAAAATTATAGAGGTCACTTTTGTGCTGCCCCTGGTTGCAACAATGAGTTTCATGTAAGGAGACTAAGGATGTACTGTCAACTTTGAGTGTGTGTTTCTTTAGCAGTAATTGACTACGTTTTTTGGCTAGCTGCACTCAAACGGGAAAATCCACCTCGTAGCCAGGTTTGTAAAGCACTTTATAGAATGAGCAGTGTTGAAGATTTTTAGTTGTAGTGCCTTGATTTTCTTGTGTTTTAGCCAATAAGTGACAGAATCGATAACATAAACTAATGTAAGTTTATTAGTCACAACCAACCACATGACATCACATTCCATAACAAACAGAAAATCTTTTTAAATGTTTAGCAGTTATTTCTTAAATCCAGCTTCAGAAATAGTTAAATCCATGTCAGTTTTTGAGAGCAGGGCTCCATGATGTAAATTAGCCTTTATATGTTTAGTGTTTCATGTCTTCTTGCCTTCTTGTTTAAGTTTGTATGATGGTTAGTGTTATTTATACAATCACAAACATTGTAGTACCCACCAAAATGTAGGATTATTTGAAAACAATTCAGTAAATTTATTAGCTTGCCTTACACAGAACATGTTCTACTAGCCAGGACTTAAAGCATGAATGACACAGTGGCTCAGTGATTGAGTGATTCTAGTGACATTTACCTTTCTGCAGATGTTAGATTTTTCTTTGCTTAAGTTAAAATGCTGTTACCAAGCTGACAGGACACTAAACTGTTAAAAGTTCCATCAGGGATAGAAACTCATCATTATTCCATTCCTGTGGGATCCTGAAAAAAGTTTGGCCAATCTTAATATCTGGACCAAATAATTTGATAGGACAACTGACTGTGCTTGCGTAACTGCTCACACCCTCTCCACTTGCAACCAGGAAATAAACTGGACTGTGGTTTCTCTCCCCACTACCCTGTCAATTAAAAGTTTAAAAATGACGATGATGATGACATTCCAAGGTACTTACCATCTGGATTTGGACCTTGTGCTTGACAAATCTCTAGCACACCAAGGTTTTGTTTTTTCATAAGGAAATCAAAAACATCCTCATCAATTTCAGTCTTTGAGTCATCAAAAACTTTGAACTCCAAGTTTGTAATGTTGAACTTCTTGGCAACTGTGAACATTATAAAATTGCATTATACATTTGAAATATACCAGGACAAGGCAAAAAAAAGTGAAATTAAATAAACTGAACCAGAAAAAAAGCCTAAACATTTGATATAGCAGCTATTATAGCACCATCCCCAAAGCTTGACTGATTCACACAATCTATGAAACACACTGGAAACTTTGATTTTTTAACTCACCACATTCCAAAAACGATGTGTAGGTCAGTTGGCCCTCAAAACAGATGTACTTTTGTTGTTCTCTATACTTTACACGCACAGCTTGCATCCTTCATGATATGAAAAGGATATTGTTAAATAATCAGATTTATTACAAATACTTACAAAATTGAACACACACATATATTCCTTGTATGTCTTACAATCTCATGATGCTCTCTTCTGATGAAAAAGCATGTAAAAAAAAAAGTAATAGAAAACTCTACATTGCAGCAATAGGAAGTTTGTATAATGCTAATCTAATACACTAGGGGCTACAGACTGCAACCATGCACACAATTCAATTCTGAGTAAAAATCATGTGCTCACCTACCATTTTGGATAAAACATTGGTGCACAGGATTTGTTAAAAACACACTTCCCTGGTCAATTATACTACCTAAAAACAGCTATTCAGCAATGCTAAATTAAGTTTATTGAAATATAGCTGTCTGTGAGTGGTCGAACAACATTAATTTTGTTGGAAGCTAACATTAGCAATTGGCAATTATGTAGCATGTAAGACCCACAAACTCAGAAGCTGTAATATAATACATGCATTACCCTTCACATAAACAAAAACTCCACATTTTATTCTATATTAAATCATTATTTAGCACTTTGCTCACTTACCTGGCTTATGCTGACAGTCGCCTCCGTTCCACTGCGGGATAAGAAAATGGCAGGAGAAATGAAACTTAAGAAACGAAAATGGGCGTGGTCTTTCTATATTACTCCAATAGAATTTCCTCTGTTTTTTGGCTCCAACTCTAGCGGCCAATTGAAGCGATTAAGTTCCAAAGCGTGCAATAATGACTCTTTTAGATGAAAATGATGGTAACTCTGGAAAAATTACTCTCTCCATTTTCCTGTGTACCCACGGATCAGCCCTCTTGATCCACAGCCACCTTGTAGCTTTCTCTGCCGCTTCACTCACAGCCTGGATGGCCCTCTTCTTGGCTGCCCCAGCCACGCCCAGCCGGCCTAGGACTTTGCAGAGTGATCGTCCTGCAAAGCCCCTACAACCCACTTCTATGGGCTCATAGAAAGTGTTCCAGCCCCTTCCCCTGCACTCCTGCACTAGTTCCTGGTACTTTCCTCGTTTCCTTTCATTGGCCTCCTCGATCCGCTCTTCCCAGGGCACTGTGAGTTCCAGCATGATCAGCTGTTTTGAGGCCTCAGAAATAATTATCATGTCTGGCCAGAGGGATGTTTTTGCAATGTTCTGAGGGAACCATAATGATGCTTGCTGGTGCTGATTGCTGAGGCAATCTTTTCAGCAACTAATCTGAGCACCTGGTCGTTCCGCCAACGATACCGACCATCGGCCAGGGCCCTTGGGCAGCTGCTAAGAAGGTGTTCTAGGGTCCCTCTTCCAGAGCACAGGGGACAGACAGGCGTCTCGCTCTTCCCCCACAGATGGAGGTTTGCTGGGCTTGGCAGAGTGTCGTATACTGCCTGCACTAGGAATCGGATCCGGTGGAAGTCTGCCTGCATGATGTTTGCCCAGGTGACCTTGCGCTGCAAGGTGCTCTCCCACCTTGTCCATGTTCCCTGCTGCTTAAGGCCTACAGCTCTACAGCTCCACACCTGCTCGGACCTCTTCCTGGAGTAGCTGGTATCTCTCCTTTCCCTGTGCCCTGCTGACCTGGGCCTTTGGGAAGTACCCCAAGCCTGCTCCCCCTGTTGCTAAGCCTTAGGTGTGACTCCGCCACCTCAACTGCCTTCTCAGCCTTCCACTATCTTCCTGTCTTTACCTCAATACCTGCTGATGCCACCTTGCAGTCTTTAGAATCTCTGTACTCTAGGGCTTCTCGTGTGCGAGCCACCTTGAACTCTTCTGTGAGACCACTGAAGGGTAACTGCAAGCTGTTGCTTGCCCCATACAAGAAAGCGCTGGTGAGACTGCGGGGAAGTCCCAGCCACTTACGAAGAAAGCCACTGATCTTCCTTTCAAGGGATTCCACAGTAGTTATTGGAACTGTATAGACAAGCAAGGGCCACAGGATTCGGGGCAGGATGGAATGCTGGTAGATCCAGGCTTTAAATCTTCCAGGCAGGCCGGACTTATCCACCTTAATGAGCCACGCTCCCAGCTCCTCATTTGCCTTCTGAATGGCAGTAGAGTCTTTCAGGCTGGAGTCAAAGAGTTTCCCCAAGCTCTTGACTGGTTGTTCCGTTATGGATGGAATAATGGTTCCTGAAATTGAGAACCGGAACTTGTCCGTCACCTTGCCCTTCTTCAGTACCATCAATCTTGACTTGGAAGGTTTAAAACTCATCCTTGCCCATGAGATGAGTCTCTCAAGACCTTGCAAGATCCACCTACACCCTGGGACTGATGATGATGTAATGGTGAGGTCATCCATATAGGCTCTGATAGGGGGCTGACGCACACCTGACCTTGTTAACAGCCCTCTGCACTCCACCTCCGCAGCCTTTACCACCATGTTTATTGCCAGGGCAAAGAGCGTAACTGAGATGGTACAGCCTGTTATTATACCTTTCCAGAGGTGGTGCCAGTCTGAAGTAACTGCCCCAGAAGTGACCCTAAGCCTGAAATTGGCGTAATAGTCCAGGATCAGGTCCTTGATCTTGCTGGGGACATGGTGGAGGTGTAAAGCATGCTCAACCAGTTTGTGTGGGATCAACCCATACGCATTAGTCAGGTCCAGCCACAATACAGCTAGGTCGCCTCTGTTCTCATGGGCTTCTCTTATAAGGTGTGTAACTACACCAGTGTGCTCTAGGCAACCAGGAACTCCTGGGATCCCCCCCTTCTGAACTGATGGGTCAATGTAATTGTTTCTAAGGAGAAACTCGGTCAATCTCCGGGAGACAACGCTAAAAAACACCTTCCCCTCCACGCTCAATAGCGAGATGCTCCGAAACTGGTTTATGTTTTTCGAGTCCTCTTCTTTGGGAATCCAGACTCCCTCTGCGCACCTCCACTGATCAGCAACTCTCCCTCTCCACCATATCACCTTTAAAATCTTCCACAGGTGGCGAAGCAGCTCTGGGCAGCGCTTATAGACAAGGTAGGGTACGCCACTGGGACCTGGGGAAGATGCTGAGCGGGCTGCCTTGATGACCTCACACACCTCCTTCAAACTTGGCTCCGTCAACTTGAACTCT